TATGATTCTCTATGACCCTTAACAGTATAAACATTGGGTTGGTTTTTTATTTTGGTATGGAGCCTGTAGCCTCCCTTGCTCCTGGCTAAGAGCATAAGAACTGCCATTGACTGGGTCAGACCATGGGTCCATCTTACCTGGTCTGCTGTATCACTCAGGCAAAGGGGGCATATGGCTTACTTGGTGGGCTAAGGCCCATGATTCCCATTGGCAGGTTAAAAATCCTGTATTGTGCAACAACAGGGAGCAGATGCTGAAAGGGAGTGTGAGCTGGGTCTGACCAGGATTTTTCCTGTTGTTCTTTTCTTGCTTGCAGCCTCCAGCCTTTTAATGTCTAGGAAGTTCTGGTTCAGAGGCCATACCCTCACTCCCATGTTCAATAGCTGCTAATCCCCCTTTCCTCCAAGAATGTTTCATAGTTTCATAGTTTCTAGGGTCGGAAGGGACCTGAGCAGATCATCTAGTCCGACCCCCTGCCATGGCAGGAAGAGCACTGGGGTCAAATGACCCCAGTAAGGTGGTCATCCAACCTCCTCTTAAAAACCCCCAGGGTGGGAGCCTGCACCACCTCACTTGGAAGCTGGTTCCAGACCCTAGCCGCCCTGACCGTGAAGTAGCGCCTCCTGATGTCCAACTTAAACCTTCCCTCCGCCAGCTTGTGACCATTGTTCCTGGTCACTCCTTGCGGCGCTCGGGGGAACAGGGACTCCCCCAGCGCCTGCTGATCCCCCCTAACCAGTTTATAACAGGCCACAAGATCCCCCCTCAGCCTTCTCTTTTGAAGGCTGAACAGGTTCAGGTCCCGCAACCTTTCCTCATAGGACCTACCCTGCTGTCCCTTGATCATACGAGTGGCCCTCCTCTGGACCCTCTCGATGCTGTCCACATCCCTCTTAAAGTGTGGCGCCCAGAACTGGACGCAGTACTCCAGCTGCGGCCTGACCAGTGCCGCATAGAGGGGGAGGATCACCTCCTTGGACCTGCTCGAGATGCATCAATGGATGCACGACAAGGTGCAGTTGGCCTTCCTAACTGCCTCCCCACATTGCCGACTCATGTTCACCTTGGAGTCAATAATGACTCCCAGATCCTTTTCCACCTCCGTGCTGACAAAAGGGGAGTTCCCCAGCCTGTATGTATGGTGCCTATTGTTCCTCCCCAGGTGCATCGCCTTACACTTATCTGTGTTAAAAATGTGTCGAGTCCCTTTTTGGCTTCCTGGGTTGCTCTCCATCAAGTGGCCTGAGGCAGACTTCTTTGGATTTTCCCTTTGTTTCAAAACCCTCTGATGTCAGACTAGCTATACGCTCATAGGGTCTGATCTGAAGCAGTGGTTTATATCTAACCTTAAATAGCTCTTGTTCTGTTGAGTCACTGGAGGGTTGTATTGAAACAAACTATTTTCTTTTTTGTTTTTGACCTCTGGGAGTTTATGGTTCACTCTGAACCTTGAACATAAAGCATAATTTTGAACTGTTTAAGATCTCACGTCTGCGTAGTAAAAGTGTATTGAGGATCAAATGTGTGATGTGTTTAAAACAGAGAATTGTACTTAATGTCTTCTCGTTGTAGGTTATGCAGGTGTAGTGAAGTATCGTGGTGTAAGAATTGGTGGAATTTCTGGCATTTTCAAATCCCATGATTATAGAAAAGGTAATGTTTTATTAAAAACAGAGTTTACTTGTGCATTTTAAATGTCTTGCAGTTAGTATGCCATAAACTTTCTATTTGGTGATGTGTGTGAATTATTGTTGTGGACTTGGGGGAATTGCAACTTCCAAAAAAGATAATGTGTGCCAGTAGATTCCTGCTGTTGACTCTGTGTGTCTGCAAAGGTCTGGCACTAACTCCTCAATCTGAATGTCCATGTGTATCAGCAGAGTGTGTTTTACCTCACCCCTGGAATGCCTAGATTTGCTCAGAGTATGTTGGCAGTTGATTGCTGCAAGGCAAATGCATTCAACAGTTGCTAGTTCCTTTTTGACTGTCATTGGCAATGATCCCAGTGTTCTGCAGTTTATTTTTGAAATAGACCAATACTAGAAAATCAAGACTGCTGCCATTTATCTCATTCAGTAAAATTGAGGATTCCTTGGTATTGCATAGAATTACTGAGACGCTACCTTGAGTTGGAATTTGGAGCTGCAGATTTGCAGGATTCCATTTCTTCCTCTGTTCAGTGATATACAAGGACAAGGAAAGTCTAAGGCATTTGTCCCCCTGCTCCCAAGAAGACCATTTCTTTATATTATGTTAGTCGGTGGGTAAAACATTAATCACCTCAAGTCTTCTTCCTTGTTTCCTGTTAGAGGTCAGAGTTCTCAGGGGTCTGTGCTTTCTACGTTTTCTTTGTGCTGCCCCTAGCAAGAGACCTCTGAAGAGTGACCTCAGGTGGCTTCCATGCTGTGAAGCTTTGGAGTAGTCCTTCTGCATTTGGCTATTCTGTTAGTTTTGTTATGGCATGCACTAGCTGTATTATAATTGGGTTTTGATGTCTGAGTGTGGTATTTCCTTGCAGGGAGCCTTTTTTATGCAAGAAGATTTTTCAAGACCTGCAGTGTAGTAAATGTACTGAGGTCTTATGTCCTCATAGTTTAACAGGGACCAGATTTTTCTCCTTTGTTCTAATGGAGCATATAGGAAACCTGCTAGTTGTGCTGCTGTACAGACTTTCTATCCTAGGATTGGGAGGCACTCTGGATTCTACTTGATAGCAGTGGTTACTCCCCTAGTTGACAGTCTGAAACTTTTACTAGTAGACATCTGAAAGTTTGCTGTGCAAGGATGGGTTTGGCCTCAGCCTGTTCAAAGTACTCATGGTGCAGCATCATGTGCAACAGTCTTTGCAGATCCCAAGGTTGTAAGTCTTGCACTCACTTCATCTGGCAGTAGTCTAGAAGGTTCTGCTGCTTCCCAGGTGAACATATGTAAATGCCTTTAGTCCAGCAAGCCTAAAACTTTAGGGCCTGTGAAACCTGTTCTCTGATAGTCAGGCCTGCTGACTGGAGACTTTCAGAACAGTCAAATGAGCTTCATCTCCATGTATCTAATCACTACTACTACTGGAATTTGGCTGTTAGTGAGTGATTTGATCTGTTAGTGTTGCAACTAATTTAGGGGATGTGGATCAAACCTTTCCACCACATTTCTATTGAGCCATGTCTAGCTTTACTTGGTGGAATTGTCAGGTCTTTAATTGATCAGTTGTGGGCAATACCAGTCCCACTATGTTCAGTTCTTTAACCAAAACATGAATATCTTGAAGATAAAATAACATTATTTTTGCTGTATTCAGTAACATGTTATCTCTTGTTTGTTTTCTTCCCATGGAGGATTCCTGGAACTTTTTTTTGTACCATGTATTTGGTGGGGGAAGGAGTTATTTACTGGGGGGGGGTCTGCATATATCAACAAATTGATAAAATGTTGTTCATTTAGTCCAGGGGTGCTCAACCTCCATTTGACCCGTGGAGTTGTGGCATCTGGTTTGTGGGCCTTCCCATGGGTTGGGGTACTTGGTGGTGGGGTGGGTGGTGGCAGCAGTTAATATGGCCATCCTCTCCTGTTGCCAAATTCCCAAGCCCCATGTGGCCAGTCAGAGCTGGGCCATATACCTCCAACTCCCTGACCCTGTGGGGTTGCATCAAGCCCCCTCCTTCCCTCATGGGGATGTGCCAAGCCCTCTTCCCGCTATAGGGCTGGATTGGGGCTGGGCTGCTCCCCTCTCCATGCAGCCACAGGGCACTGCCCATCTAGTCCGCTTGGCAAAAAGGTTGAGCACCACTGATCTTGTCTAACCTCCTGCTCAGCTAGCAGTGCTCCACTCTCCTCCCCACAAAATTGAGGATTGTTGCTCTTCTATTTTGAATTAGTGCTTCTTAGGAATATCTTTGCCTCCTGTTGGGGAAAAAACTGGTAGAATAATGGGTACAGCCTAAACATCTTCATATAATCTTAGCCACTGGCAACCAGAGAACTTTGTTTGGCATTTCTACCAGGCACCCATGTGGGTCCAGGAGCTCTGCACAGGGAGGATTATAAGGAAACTGGATACCTGTGACAAGTCTTTCTTAATACATTACAGGACATTTTGAGTGTCCGCCATACAATCGACAAACAATAAGAAGTGCGTACCATGTGAGGAACATTGAAGTCTTCAAACTCAAACAGGTTAGCAGAACTTTTTTTTTTTTTTTTGAAGAGGGGATGATGATATTCGAGCAAGTGATGGGAATT